CCCCTAATGGTAACATTTTGCATAATTAAAGTGCAATATCACAACCAGGAAATGACAGTGATATAATGCATTGACTTTATTCACATTTCACCAGATTTATAAATACTCATTTCTCTGTGTCTGTATTTACTTCTGTGTAATTTTACCATACATAGGCATATGTTACCATAACATACTTTTAAAAAGAGGTGGGGGCTGAGCACAGTGGCTTAAGCTTCTAATTCCAGCACTCTGGGAGGACAAAGCAGGAGGATCACTTGAGACCAGAAGTTCAAGACCACCTTGGGCAATATAGAAAGACCCCCTCTCTACAAAAAAAAAATGGAAAAAAAAGCCAGGCATGGTGGAACACACCTATAGTCCTTTTTACTCAGATGGCAGAAGTGGAAGGGTAGCTTCAGAGCATAAGAATTTGAGGCTGCAGTGACCTATGACTGCTACTGTACTCCAGGCTGAGTGAGACCCTGTCTCTAAAAGAAACCAAAATGGATTGTGGGATGGAGAAAAGGATATACATGTGAGAAAGCACATTTAGTAAAATGTTAGTTGTAGAATCTGGTTAGTGGTTGTATGGGTGTTCTCTGTAGAATGTCTCTCAATTTATTTATTTATTTATTTTTTTGAGAAAGTTTCTTACTCTGTCCACTGGGCTAGAGTGTAATGGTGGCATTGCAGCTCCCAGCAACCTCAGACTCCTAGGTTCAAGCAATCTTCCTGCCTCATCCTCCTGAGTAGCTAGAACTGCAGGCACCCACTATAATGCCTGGCTATTTTTTCTATTTTGGTAGAGACAGAGTCTCTATCTTGCTCAGGCTGGTCTTGAACTCCTAAACTCAAGCAATCCACCCACCTCGGCCTCCCAGAGTGCTAGGATTACAGGTGTGAACCACCTTGCCCAGCATAATTTTTTTTTTTTTTGAGACAGACTCTCACCATGTCACCCTCAGTAGAGTGCCATGGCATCATAGCTTACAGCAACCTCAAATATATTTTCTTGACTAAATATAGAAAATTCTATATCTTCTTGACTAAATATAGAAAAACTAGCCTCTTGCTCAGGATGGTCTCAAACTTCTGAGCTCAAGTGATCTAACTGCCTCATCCTTCCAGAGTACTAGGATAATAAGCGTGAGCCACCATGCCTAGACACCAGTCTAAATTTTTATAATTAAATGTTGAGACTTACAGCAGAAGTAAAGTTCAGCACTCTGGATCATATAAGCCTCAAATTTTATATATTGTAGATGAATATATTTGGAATATGTCATATGAAGTCTGACAATTAAGTTGGTGAACTTGAAACTGTGCACT